CACTAGAAAAACAAACACTTGGGAGCGTGTGAGGTTAAGTGTTCAAACCCAGTTGGTTTCCATACCATCAGCGCTGTTGCTGTATCACTCGGCCTCTGGCACTTTGCCTCTGGCACTTTCTTAAATATCAAGAATAGGACTGGTGGGGCGTGGTTTGGAAGAGAAGTTCTCTGTTTTCCAGCACACTTTCTTTTTTTACCACCATACAAAACCAAGCAGGCTATAGTATTTCCTTTCACCCTTGAAAAAAAGGCTTCCTGGACTTGCCTGAGGCATTACCCACTAATTCTACTGTAAAGAACTGAACCCACAAAAGCTGAAAGAAATGGGTAACTCCTGAAGGTCCTTTTTAAAAGTGGGAACGTTTACTGAAGAAATGCCAAATATCACCACATTTTGTGATATGATCCCTTGTGCCCAGCATATACAGTGTCAGAAGATTGCACCCTGGACTTTCTCCTCTGTCCCAGTGTTTGGAGGGCTTCTCCATCAAAAGGCCCCTGTTGCATAATTAACGGAAGATGCATTTCTGTTGATTCACCTTTCATGCCCCAGACTTGCTTTAGCTGCCTGAGTCCTATTAGCCAGCCGCAGGCAACTGAAAACAAGCCCAGTACAAGTAGGTAGATGGCAGAGAGCAGTCGTGATCAGTTTGGGTTCTTGCTTCCCAAAGCTTCCTATAGGGTCTCTGGAGAAATGCTGCCCTGAGCCAGTAATGGACATGTGGAGTGGCTATTCAAGGCCTTCTCCACCTGGGTGAGCAGCTTGATTTGCAGAACAGGCAGTCAATGCACCCTCAAGATCTGCTTGAAGGCCTGCTCTCCAAGAGAGGTGCAGAATTCTAGATCGAATCAAAGTGAGGTTGATACAAGGAACCCTGAGAGCAACATCTGGAAAACCACAGATTCTCTCTTCTCTGCAGTTCTAAGGCAGATACTTCGAAGAGAATGTTCAACATTGGTGAAGAATCATCTGCTTTTTCTGTCATCACTGTTTGAACTCTGCCCGTGCATAGGACATGAAGGGGTAATGCAGAAATTTGGAACAAACCATTTTCATTAACTAGGGAATAAGGAGGATGGGTAAAAAAAAAGGTTAGGAATAAATATTTACCATCGCCTGCATAAAACTGTGGAGCCTTATGAACAAACATCTATCTCAAAATTTGAAGCCCCCCAAACCACATCAATTGAACATTACTTCTAACAATTGTATTTTGCTTCTGCTGGTTGTATGGAGAGCTAAGGAGTCTCTCTATCACAGGGAATCCTCCTTGGTGCTCCACCTCGTTTCTGATATTCTCTGCCCTAAACCAAGTGCTGGGTATCTCTGGCAAAAGCCTGGAAATGAACTTAATTACAGGAAGAGCCCTGGGATATGTAAGATGCTTATAGTCAAAGAAAACCCTGCTAAACAAATTGGAGTCAATTTGTTTTGTCCCCAAACCAATTAGGCTGAAGATTAGGACTGCAGCTGGGAGTACGGTAATCTGGAGATTTGGGGCTGAGGGAGTGAAGCAGGCAAGATAAATTCCAGCTTCCAGAAATGTGGCACCGGGAGGCAGGAAGGTGATTTTAGCCCAACCTGAGACAGGCAAGATACAGTAGTGGCCAAAACTGTGGAAACCTTTTGGGAAAAGTATATTTTTGAGGTTTAATGGCTAATAAAACCATTTTTTTTAGTTTCAAGATAATCATATTCCACTGCTGGAATGGCCTGGGAGTAGCCCAGACCTTAACCCCACTGAAAATCTATGGAGCTGACTAAAGAAACTTGTAAGTCTGAAGCGACCCAGCAAAAACACCCAGTTAATAGAAGCAATCATTCAATCTTGGTTTCACATTACAACAACTGCAGAACTAAAAGACTTGGTTCTCTCCATGGGAAGACATTGTAAGGCCATAATTCATGCTAAAGTTTACCCAACTAAGTATTAACTGACATGGTGATAATTTTTGTATATCATTTTTTTCTATGGTGATAATTTTTGTATATCTCGTTTCACTTTTCTTCTTTATAATTGCTATTCTAATAGCAAATCCTTCATAAAAGTTATTGCATTACATTCTTGATTAAATTATCTTTCCATTGATATATAATCTTATGGTACTACTGCAAACAAAAATGATGTTATTAGCTAGTGTTAGAAAATACACTTTTCCCAAAATTGTGGCCACTACTGTAAATTACACAGCTTGTGAACTTTTTTTTCCTCTTGAGATCAAGAAAACCATAATCTATGGCTCTCCCACATAGTTAGAAGTAGCTGGCTGGGTAACTAACACTTTACCTCTATATACAGATCAAAAATGAAAGATTAAACCACTTTGGCCGTAAGAACAATCCAGTTTGCCTGACCTGCCCTTTCTCACCAGAATAAAGCAATCTTGTGCACCTGCACTACTCCAGGAAGTTTTCTCTCTCTTGAAGCAGGAAAGTGCAGTGGCTTTTTCTGAAACTCTTTTCCCTTCTCTCACACATCAGGCATTGGAGCATATGCCCATAGCACAATCCACCACATTCCTTGTTTCTACTTACCGTTAGGACTGCTGAAGGCAGAAGCTGACGTGGCCCTGGCTGAGAGAGCTGCAGATCTGCTACCTGTTTGGAAAGGGGAGGGAGGGGAGACCACAGAGCTCAGGATAGGAGGCTGGAGGTGCAGAGGAATGTTTGTGCAAAGGGAGAGGCCTGCAGCCAGCACTTCCTTATTGGAGACTGGAAAGGAACAGCCTCAAAGTAGATTGTCTGTGCCAAACAATACAGAGGAGGAGGCAGCCATCTGTTTTGGTTTCAGAGGCTGTATGACAAAGGAAAAGAGACTAGCTGAACCAGAGCCCATTATCACAGTGCCATCAAGTTAGCTGAGCTACTATCAGTGGGTCATTGGTAATGGTAGAGAGGCTTCTCGGAATAGTTATTCGACAAAGTTTTCCTTTAAAAAGTGTGCACCCCCTTTTACACACACAAATACACCGTGGCTAAGCTTCTGTAGACTTGTGTCATTTACAGGATGGCAGAACTGGTCCCCACTTTGCAGACCAATCACTTTGCATACAGCAAGATAAATCCACGCACTAAATTTAGCATCTTAGCAAACTTAACAGATTGTCTTGGGAATGGTAGTGGTAACCAATGGAGAAAGCAGAATGTAGCCGGCATTAAAGATAAAAGTTCCCCTTGCACATATGTGCTAGTCGTTCCCATCTCTAGGGGGCTGTGCTCATCTCCGTTTCAAAGCCGAAGAGCCAGCACTGTCCAAAGACGTCTCTCATGTGGCTGGCATGACTAAACACCAAAGGCGCACAGAACGCTATTACCTTCCCACCAAAGATGGTTCCTATTTTTCTACTTGCATTTTTACATGCTTTCGAAGTGCTAGGTTGGCAGAAGCTGGGACAAGTAACTGGACCTCACTCCGTTACGTGGTGCTTGGGATTCGAACCGCTGAACTGCCGACCTCTCCGATCGAAAAGGTCAGCATCTTAGCCACTGAGCCACCGTGTCCCTTTAGCCGGCATTAAGCAACTGTAAATTTCTTTACAATGTTGTCTATGTTGCTAATCTAAAAGCTCAGATCCTCTGGGTTGTATGATGTTGGTGTTTATTAGCTTTTTGGGGTGGGGTAGCTATTACTCTTTACTTGTTTGTGATGTCTGTATATTTATGCTGAATTTGTAACTTGAAGGCTATCTCCTCCGAGAATCAAATAATAAGAAAATCTGTAGCCTTCTTTGCCATGGTTTTAATGATGGGTTTTCATTCCAGTCATGGCTCTGAGGTTGCCAGGGGTTGCTTCTTCATTCTTACATTATGTCTATGGTGCAAAATGCAGTTCCGTGGCTCCACCTCTTCTGGACACGAGGTTTACCTTGGAAGCATCACCTGCATTCGAGTCCCACTGGATTTCCGTCAGATGGTGGCAGATGGGCTCAATCTAAAGCAATACAAGTGTCATGTGCTGCCATGTGAGATGACTAGTTATATAACTACAACAGATAAATAAATAAATACTATTCACCAAGATGAATTGTGCAGAGCTAGCTGCAAAGTCTGCTTCTATTCAGACAATGTTCTACTTGCAGATCAGGAAACTGACACAAAAAAAACCCCAACAACAATCTCAGGTAGGTATTTGGCAGGAATAATATTCTTAAGGTGGGACATTGCAAAGGATTTCAGCAGAGGGGAATTTTTGTTACAAAGTTGTTCCATTGTTATAAAATTAAACTATTGGGTTGCAGGGGCTGTTTGCATGTTGTGTGTGTGTTTGTGTGTGTGTGTGTTTTGGGTGTGACCAGGTAAGGTGGGGGAGGGGTCAGAGAATAAGAGCATTTCTCGGCTCCATTCCAGGGTGTTTGCATGTTCTTCCTCTATTCAGGGTGGAGAGGCTCATTACAAACCAAAAGATTTGTCCAATCCCGGATATCTAGGCGGATATGAACTCATAGCTGAATCTGAGAGGTGGAGCCAACCAGGGCTACTGTTGGGGACGATATGCTTCTGTGTGCAGGACTTAAGTAATTTGCCAAGCCACATAGAAAGAGGAATGATTTTGCAAAGGCACAAATGCCTCTCCTACTGAAAGCAAAACTTTCCCATTGGTGTCAAAGCCTGGGCTACTGTTCTCTCACCCTGTATAAAAGCATGCTCCAAGCTCTGTGGGCAGACATACATGAAATGTTGTAGGAAACAGCCTGTGTGGACCCATTTCTTGGAATCAAACAGCACGCCAGCATGACTTGTCACCCCCCAAAAAATGACTTTTCTTTCAACAGTTGCCATTTAACGCAAATCATTGACTGGGGAACACAGTCAATCAGTTCAGTCTTGAATGAAAAATGAATAGATTGCCTCTGAGCATCTACAAAGTATGTTTTTTGTATTATCGTGTATTATTGTACTCCTTGTTATTATCGCAGATCTGGGAACAGCACTAAGATCTTCCAGTTTGGAAAGAGACTATGACTAGTGTACATTTCACAGCTTCACATGTTTTCCAATGGCCACCCTTCCTCCCAACTCAGGAAGCCCACTGAGATGCTATAATGAGGCTGCATTGAGATCTTGGGCTGTCTAGTTAGCTACAGATGCCCAGCGATTCACGTACAAGTGAGTGAGCATGGTTTCATCGCAGTCTCAAGTTCTGCAAAAGGTTACTGTTCTAATAGCTGATCCAGTATTTTTAGAAGTGAAAAACTTTTACCTGCTGATCCTGCACATCTAACAATTATTCAACCCAGTAAATTTACAAAACATTTGTGCCTGCTTGTTTTTTTTTAAAGTTGGTAACCTTACCCCAAGTCCAACCTTCATCATTTTAACTGCTGGGAAAGAGGCTACTAAGTAAACATCTTTTGTCAGTCCGTGTTGCTAATAGGGCTCTTCAAACAGTGTTATAGCTGAAGGATGAGGTTTTTTGACCAAAGTTTATGCGATAATAAATCAAATTTCAAATTGCCAAAAAAACAACCCTTTGTTTTTGTATTTGTATGTGAATAAAAGATTTAGATGATTAACCCTCTTGGAAATACTCTCAGTTCAGCTTCTTGCTAAATGTTGCTTGTTCCTTTGTGGTCCTGACCATGAGCCAATCTCAAAGTAATGTGCTACCTACCGTGTATTGACTTTTTTTTTTCTTTTTGTAGGAGAAGGAAAGCAGGTAGAATCCATTTTGCAAAAATTCATATTCTGGCATCTTTTTTCTATTGCAAAGGGATTCCTTAACCAATCCTCCCTGGACTGTAGAACCAAATGGGATTCTCTTTTGTTGATTATTTTCAACTTCCCACAGTAATTGGACCCCTATTGGCAGTCTGAGGTATGAACTCTAGGAACCCTTAAGAATCCTGGCACAAAGTGGACAGATGGACGAAACGAAAAGGAAGTTTGGTAAATGCCTTTATTAGCTACTGGGTGCAGGTCTACTACTTGGCCAAAGTGAGGGTGTGGGTTGCACAGGGAATATAATGCTACTGTTTCTGCTGCTAAGACCTGGCTCAATGCTGGACACGGCGGATGGACTGGATCTGGCTGCTGTGGGCTTGGCTGCTATAGTCGGTGTACTTCCGATATTCACCATTCTGTCGGTCCCGCTCCAGGATATATTGGTAGCCTCGGTAGCCCGGATATTGATATGCCACCCACCTAGGAAGATAAAACAGATCATAGGGGTGATAGGCAATCTGACACATGTTCCTTCGTTGGAAAGGGAACAGCACATCTTTCCCTAAGCTGGTGTTTTGGGAATGTGTTGATACTGCAATGCCTGAATTACATTAGTTGTGAAGGCTAAGTGATATAATCCCAATGTATCTGGAGGGTGGCAGGTTGGAGTAGCATAGTACCTCAATGGTCTTCAGTCCTTTGGATCTCAACTCTTCCAGTCCTTGGACTAGGTAACCAGCCCCAAGGGAGATGTACCATAAAAAGGACTGGGAGTAGGGGAACGAGATATTGTAGTACTGTAGTTGCTGTTTTGAAATGCAGAAATCAATTTTGGAGAAACTGCATCTGTGGATCTGTTGTATTTATATTTTTTTATATGATGGAGCCAGTACTGTAGATTTTTATGCAGTCCTTTAAAAAGCCACCAAACACAGAGAAATATATTTAATCTCATACAATATGAGAACAAAATTTGACACAAGAAATAAAACTTGCTTAGGTCTCTTGAAAAGAGTTGGCTTACTGTGCTTTGTTAAATAAGTCGCTATGGGAATGCTCATAATTTACCCACCTCAGTAACCAGTTCAATATGTTAAGCCAAATAACCCCTTGTGGCTTAATACAATGTGTGATCAGAAACAGAAGAAGCCTGTTTCTAGTTCAAACCTGATTATGGAATTTAAAACTATGGAGAAGAGTGACCAGCAAACTCTCTGCTAGAAAAATGTCAGATCACCTTCCTATTTTGGGGATCTTCAGATCTACAGTGATACTGATCAGTATCACTGTAGATCTGAAGACCCCCATAATAGGAAGGTGCACCATCATCATAGCTACTTTGCTTGTGAGTAAAGTAGCCCAATACATATACAGAAGATACCAGAACTGTAGGGCGGAGGGTCTTATTAAACCAAGGTAATTACTTAACAGGTGCTCTCTGATACTTATTACCTTGAACAGAAAATTGCACCAAGAGAAACTGAAGGCATTCACTTACGCTCCAGAGAGAACTCTGATGGAGGCTACTTCCTTGCTGCTCCATCCCATGGCTTGCAATGATGGATAATCATCAGTCAGCTCAAACTTGTATCCTTGGAAGTTCTCTGACTCAAATAGGGTCACTCTGCTGTCATTATGATTCTGCAACATAGCATAAAGTGGAAGATGTCTCAGAGTAGGAATAAACACAAGCAAAAGAGATCACAATGACTTTTCCAAGTCTCAGGCTTCCTTTCTCCATCTGGTACTTTTAGATATTTTGGGGATGCCTCTACAAAGATAGATAGATAGATAGATAGATAGATAGATAGATAGATAGATAGATAGATAGATAGATAGATAGATAGATAGATAGATAGATAGATAGA